TCATGTGAATCCAGTATTAAGTAAACAGTTTTTGATACATTATTTAGAACCAAGTTTAGTTTAAGTTAAAACTAACTCCTAAATAGTGATAAGTGGAACATTATGCTGATTTTAAACAAGCCAGATAATTAGACCATGGGTGTGTAGCGTATAGCAAAACTTCCGACTCTACTATTCAGAAGCTACAAGTTGCTCAAAGTCAGACTCTCCGAAGACTCTTCAAAGTGCCATAGTATATTCACACGATGACATGCTGAGAGATCTTAGAATAGATCAGGTCAAAAAATATATAAGGAACAGAGCCCTGAAGCTATATGCGAAGCTATGCCCTGAAGCTATGTCCTACTTACCACTATCTAATCTCAGAGTAATCACTGACCGCACGGGGCGGTTAGTAATGTTTTACAGCAGTGATTAAAAGATACTATTGCAAACAAGCAAGTCACAATTTCTTTTATGAAAACCGTTTTTAAATAAAAAATATTGGTGTTAAATCCAGAAATTATTTTTATTTTAGTGTTTAGTGTTTTGTAAACGCTATATAAAGATGTCTAATGTTAACCTAATTTTGTGACTGCAAGTGTTTTTCATCCCTTGAGAACGTTAGTAGTTAAGTGAGGATAAAAAATATTTTAAAATATTATTTTAATAAAACTGTTAGAATATACAACGACCGATGCTGCTCGGATTGTTACAGAGTACATACAGAACAAAATATTATCCATTACATCACGACGTGTTTTGATGTGGACATCAATAAACTTCTCCCAACAGAAATGTGGCAATCTAACTCGCTAATTCGAATTCGCACCAAAAAATTGCGCTCACATCATATATTTACAGGCTCTATTTTCAAGTCCCGCAAATAATATAGTGTCAAAACTAAAAAATTTGAACCGAAAAAGACCCACAATTGATTTTGAAATTACATCTGAGCCAATACGATGTTGAAAGATATCAGAACTAACGCCTCAGACCTCGTATACTTTAAAATTTGTGTGAAAGCAAATTTGAAAGCTATGAAAAAAATTTAAAACAACGTTTAATACAAGAATTCAGTATTGCACTACACATCCCAATATTCTGATGGATTTTTCAATAAATCTTTATGATACTTTCCTTTAATAAAAAATGTTCTTTTTTTAATTGTTGTTCTTTATTGAAATGAACATTTTATGTTTTGATTTTGAACTTCGTTACGGTTGACTTGGCCAACAGTTTAATTACCTGTTGGCAACAAAATTTGAAGTAAACTGAGGAAGTTTTGACGGAATCTTTTGAATATTGTTTAATATCAGATAAAGTATATCAAATCTTTGTAATTTTATTTATTAGACTGGCATAGTGAAATTACACCCTTTTTACAACTTATAAAACTGCTAACCTCAGGCGCAAATAGGTTTTTAGTGTTGTCTCTGATTTGACTTAAATAAAATCATTCTTAGTGGATTGGTAAATATTTTTTTCACTACCAAACTCTTTCTGTAGTATTTTAGTTTCCTACAACTACAATTTATATTTTTTAATTCAGTTGTTGAACTTAGGTTTGTGGACAATTCGTACTACGACATAATCCCATTTATATCTCTCAGTTAGAAACAGTTTTCATCACCGACATCAATCAAGTCAAAGAATTTTTCACATATTATTTCCACATATATGCACATGGAAAGAATATGTAACATATAACTTAGGTGTGATATCAATAATAAAATCTGATTCTATCACAAGATATATAAAATTGTGTCTTGAACATATAGAAGTTTGAGGGATTTTCAAAAACTGATACATTTTTAAGATTTGTTTAGTAAAAATAGAATCTAGTAAACTGTGCATCAAATGAAATTCTTAGAAAATAATATTTAGATTGGAAATATTCATAACTCAAACAAAAAAAAAACTTGTGTATATTTTTCAGCTCATATATTTCTTTATGCTTATTCAAGGTTCGTTATATTTCTTTGTTTCTGTGAACCTTTTTATTGCGTAAATTTTTCAATTCTTCGGATACGTAGATAGTAAGTAATTTGCAGTTTTGATGTATAAGACATTTCACACTTAACTTCTTTTAGGGCTGCATATACCTACCTACCAAACATGTTGCTACTAAATGGCCCATACATGGATGTTCCTTTTGTATTCAAGGCAAATAAGGTTGATCCATATAAAGGTATAACTAACCCAGAGAAGATTTATGTGAAGGCAATGAAGATTGAGCCAGTCACAATAACCAGATATATGTTTGATGATATTAAGTTTTGCTATCCACGGCCACAAACTAACTTTACAGGGTATGGCATTGATCGTAGATGTAATCATTTTTACAAAACAACAAGTTCGGACTATGGATTTTATCCTCCAGATAAGCACACAATTCCGAGACGTTTCTATTGTAAAAAATCTGAACTTACTTCAACTCTTACGGACTTCTCTCCACACATGGGCCTACATTATACACTTAACCTTTTAAAGAAACCTACACGTTTCATTGTCAAGAAACCACAAAAGTAATTGTCGGGAACTGAAAAAATTTTACTTTAGTAAAATGCATATTTTTAATTATTTAATTTTATTTAAAATTTGTCAAGAGAACTTGAACAAATAAAAAGTGCAGAATACGTAATATCACATCCTTTAATTGTATTAAATGCTTTATGAGGGAAAAGAGTTCAGTCCCTTAATTAATATATAATATAACATATTTTCCATCATACATTATTTATTATTGCATTTATTTTGCGGTATTATTATTTTACGTAAATAGTACAGACAATACTTTACATTGAATGCATTCAGGTAAATGAATCATATTTCCATTTATCACATATCAAATGGCTTCTCTTGCACCTCCTAAGAAAAGTTTCTGGATTGCACAAGTATGGATGCTTTATCATTGATATGATATGAATCGTATCATATGTAAGCCCCGATTTATTTCTTTTTCGACTAATGGAATTATAAGATCTTTATGCATGTAACTTTTTCTAACGTACTTAGGACCTTTAAGCATATTTCATACGAGTTTATATAGAAATTACTGCATAACATATTTGCAAATCTGTATAGGGATCTACACGGAGTGAAGCACCATATGAACTTAAGGAGTTATTTATAGATAAGCAGTTTTTGTATTGGGATGGAGACGAATTCAGTTTTATTAATACATATTTTATTAACTTTAAATGTAAATAATTTTTTTTAATTCGATGTTTTCCTTGTAACGTAATTTTAAGTATAGCTTTTATTTTTTAATATTAATTCGAGATATTTTAAGGTACTATTGACATTGTTTTTATTTTTTAATGAAATATAATCTTTTACAGCAGACTTTGAAAATGATTTTGATTCATATAGAACCACTTCCAACTTCATTCTCTTTTCTTCTAATATCTTAAAAGTGTTGTCTGTTATCCTATGAGGTTCATATACAGTTGAATGACAACTTATGAACTGGCAAAATGATATTAATTTCTCTACTTACTTAATGGATTAAGCATTTTGATTTAACAAAACTTTTAAAAATAAATTGGTTTATTGAAGAAGGTCGTATACTAATTTACTCGGCTACAGAACCATCGCGAGCTCATCAGTTTTCTAATAATTCCGTATGCAGCAGAGGGTGAAGGATGATTTGATTATTTTTGTAATTTGTTCTATACGAGTCTGTGGCTCTTTTCCCTTTACATTTTTGATTTCTTATTTAACCTCGTTTTCATTTAAGTTCAAAACGAAAAAAATAAAGAAAAAGTTGATTGAATATTTTGTGAAAAATTACATTTTTTCAAAAATTTTTGACATTTTTTCAAAGAGATCAACTACAAACGTTAAGTACTTTTGAACCTACTCAAGTCAAATGAAATATTTAATTACCTAAATAATTATGTATGGACTGTATACCGACTAGTGGTTTCTTTCGAATGCCTGAGATTTCATTCTTTATATCTCGTAATTATTTAAATACTCGCCTTTACATATATTTTTTTTTCATTTCATGTATAAAGGAATCATTTACTGAAATTATAGCAATTTAATACAAAAAATGATAACTATATTTTTCAGTCGTAATGTCCCGTCCTGCTAAATAAAATATTGAATATAAATTTTGTAATATCTCCTACGTCTTCTTATATGTGTTACCAATCGCTGGCACACTTGAAATACTTTTATTCGTAATCAATAAGTGGTATTAATAAATTATTTTTTTTAATTTTAATTTTTTGTTTTTTTTTGTGAGCATTTATATCTATAATTTGTAATTATATTTCTTTTTTTTTTTGTAATCATTAAAATGATTGCTTAGTGTTATACGAGTTATATC